AAATCTCCCTACCCTCTACAGGGAAAAAGTCATTATCAAGCTGTATGGGAATAGAGGCAGGAGTAGGATATCAAACTCGCATATCTCTTTATGCAGTGTGCATCAGTGCAATATCATACTCCCAGCTGGCCACCCAGGTTACCTTACTCAGGCTAGAGGGCCTGTGAGAGCACTGTGTGTCTCCACTGGCCTTTTACATTAGAACTTCCCAGCGCTGCTAGTTGGGTCTGCTCTGGGCAGAGTGCTGTGATGGAAGCCCTGGTATAGACAAGGCACTTGTAGCTGTCAGCACTCTTCTGTTCTGCCATCCATCTTGCTCAGAGAAAACCTCTTACTAACTGTACTGTGATGGAGGTTTCAGAGCAAGAGATGACATTTTTTTTCAGTAGCCTCCCCAGCCCTTGAGCTGTGCTGAAGCTCAAGCAGTGGCAAAATGCTGCTTGGGGATGTCTGCGGTTTTGCTTCTTTGCTGAACAGAGTCAGGATTTGTCCTCCTGCCTGCACAAATGCAGAAACCGTTTGATTTTGTCATTTATCTCAATACAGTTTTCCAGTCATTCTGGAAATTACGCTGCTGAAGGCACTAAAGGTGCAAGTCCAGACCAACATTCAAATCCTCACAAACCAATTGACTTTACGGGACTGTAAACTACTGTGGGCAAAGCAGCAATAAGGTGGACAGACAGGCTCTGCCTCTGGGAAAGTTTGCAGTTTCTTGTCTATTTCTACCCCTGCCTCAGCTCAGCAAAGGAAGGTAGGGGCAAATTAGCACTCCTCCTGCTCTTGCCTCCCACACTTTTTGCCTCCTGCTTCACAAAACCTAGTTCAGCTAGCAGGGAAAGAGGTCAGAAATATACACAGTGCACTGGAGGAGCAGAGCAGCACATGGAGCAGGCAGCAGTTCCACAGCACAGGGATGCACAGTGGCACTGAACCACTCTCTGCACAGCAGGACCCTGACACTGCTCAAATGTTGCCTGCTCCCCGCTTCCCCACCTGACACCGGCCTTGCGATGATCAGCCTCTGTTTTGAGGTCAGCCCTCAGCCACTGCATCATGTCACATCTGCATATTTCTCTTAAAGCCCCAGATATCGCTACGCTGAAACACTGGGATTCAAGCAGGGAAGCTCCCCATGCCTTTGGCTACATTTCTAGAGACACCTGCTACTTCAGGCAAAGCCAGAAACTCCACTACTGCTCTGTGCAGTGTTCTCTGCTGCAGGCAAACGCATTGTTAAAACTATTCTGCTGTATCATTAGAGGTCAGCTTGGAATGGAGAAGGCAATAAAAGATTCATAGTGGCACATGAGGGGATGCACTAAATATCCAACCACAACTTGAAATCATGCAAAGCTTGATAAGGTTTAGGACTCGGTTAAAAACTCACAGTTCAGTTGGTGTTCCACAGAAAAGCTTGCAATCAGTGATACTACTTCTGCACCAGCAATTCAGGCTACAAGTTATGCCTTGTAGCCAGGAGTATCTTAATAGCATAGATGCTCCCATGCTCAGGCCAGTAATAAAAAATTAATCCCTTTCCCTGATTCCGTTAGGAACCAATACCAACTATTACTGAGAAGACATAAGAAATAATGCTGGAGGCACTTTCAAGATAACACATTCCCAGGGTTGTGACTTTCCATCCTTTGGTATTTTATGACTGGCTAAATCTTCATTTTAGCAATTTTCTAACCCAGTAAGGTAGGTAGTGGGACCTGCTGTAGTCTGTATATATTTAAATATTCCATTCAAACTGTCATTAATCTTATTTTCTGTCTAAATATCAAATCTGTTTTAGTAATCCTACTAAAGTCCAGTCTCAAGGTCCTGTGACAGTGAGTTCCTCAGTCTATTTACATGTGAGCAATCATTACTCACTACTGAAGGAGCTGTCAGAAATTCAATACAGGAATTCTCGCAGTATTTTCAGTTTGATTATAAAGGCATCATCCTTCCCCATTTTACTCCAGAACAAAACTAACACAGGCAAGTTTCTTCTAGCTGCTGAGTTCCATCTGCTTTTCCATCCTTAAAACAGCTTTTAACAAAGAATTTAAATCAGATCCCTTTTTTATGTTGATCTTAAAATCTGACTGGGAAGTTTGGCCATGTTCTCAGACTGGATTTGATTTGTAGCCATTATTTCTACCAGGACAGCACATCTAATCTCGTGCTTGGTGCCACTGTACTCAAAACCAGCTGCTCCAGCTTTGATACAGAAGAGGCTAATATCATTAGCAGAAAAACATAATGATGTTTGACATATCAAATGACTTCATCCTGCCTTTAATCTCTGTGGCCAGCCAGTCCCACCAGGCAAGAGATGGTCTCAGCAGACAGGACACAGACTCAGTGTGAAGGACAGAAAACTTCCAACACAGCCCCATAGCTGAGATTTAGGGCACGCCATCTGAGCCACACAAGGTGATTATTGTGATGTAAAGAGCTATGCTCTCTGCACACGGGAAGAAGGCTTCCTCTCCCAATTTGAGTCTAAAGCAAAAGAGCCATCCTCGAGCGCTCCCAAACCACTCACCTTGCAGCATCTGCAAAAAGATGATCCAGCTGTGCCCACAGCTGGACAAAGCCACCACACCTGGAGCGCCTTGGAGGCAAAGGTCCCCAATAGCTGTGAGGGGCAGCAGGGCTGGTTCACTGACACATGCTGCTGCAGGGACTTGGCTCAGTGCATAAGGTGTCTTGCCCTTTGCTTTACAGCCAACCATCTGTCTTGTATTTAGGGTACCAGCTCATTTCTTCTACCCGCAGTCAAACTGCCCTTCTCCTTTACAAAAGGTTCTATGGAGCCTTGATACCTGACACATTCCCAGTTCAAGTGGAAAGATAAAATTACTCATTTTCACCTTCTATCCTTTTGTACCAGCTCAGGGACAATTTCCCTTCACTAGGAGGCTGCAAACAGACCAAGAACTGCTTTGGGGGCTGAAAAACCCTGAAGCTTAATTTTTCCACCCCTTTGATCATTTCTGGCTTCCCACACAAACGGCTTTTCCACGTATGAGGTACCTGCACTGACGCAACCACAGAGATGCCAGAGAAAAAGTGGAAAGAGCAAACCAACACCACTGCCCACACAGGGAAACAAAAGCTGTGAGGAACTAGAAGGCATCTTTTGACTTTGCTGGTTTAGTTAGCCATAAGGGAAAGAAGCAAAATGCCCTTCTTAATGGCTCCAGCCAGTTATTTACACAGCCTATCAAATTCCATAGCCCAAATGGAGAACAAGTCTCTCACTCTACCAGAAATCCTCTGCATTTCATCCCGTTACATCCTGGCACTGGAAATTGCCAAATCTTGTCAACCAAATGCAATAGCACTGTTGCCTACATAAACACGTTTAACACCTCTTAACATGCAAAACACGCAAACAAACGATAAACACGGCTCCTGAGTCTTCACAATACAGCCGGTGTCTGACTGCCAGAGATGGCACCTGGAGTTGGGGAAATGCAGCAACCAGGTAGTTTCCTGGAGTGAGCACGAATCCTACACGGGACTCACTAAGCATTATTAGTTTTAGATACTGTTTTATAGCCTGGGAAAGTCTGAAGGGGAATACTGTGTACGTCTCATTCAAGCAACAGAAGTGGAACGGGTGGGCGCGGGAGGGAACCGAGCAGGCAGAGCAGAATGCAGGGCCGGAGTATCTGCATCTCTCTGGAGCCCAGAGGGACTGGAACGAGGAGGGCGATCACAGCACCACTGCAACAGTACACATAACGCTTCTCCCCTGCTTCGGTAGCATTCCGGTGCTATGAACTGAGGAAGGATCCGCGCCCAGCCCTGCGCAGGGACCCTCTTGAGACCCAAGCGGGACGCTACCCTAGCCCCGTGTCCAAGCGCCGCCGGGCTCGGGGAGCAAAAGCCCTTAGAGCGATCTCCGCGAGTGCGTTACCAGGCTGAAGCCGAAAAGGAGAAGGAAATAAAAGGCCGCTCCAGCGGGAAGGGACCAGCCAAAGACCGCCAGGGCTGGGCCGCTGCAGCTCCCATCCCTGCCGGGGCTGCGGCCGAGAGGGAGGCGGAGAACCTCACCCTCCCTCTGGGGCAGGCGGCGCCGGAGGTCCGCACGGCGGGGGTGGCGGGGCGGGGAGCACGGCGGCGGGGGGGGCGGGCGCGGCGGCGGCGCTAGGGCCGCGCGTGGCGCGGGCCCGGAGGTGGGGTAGCAGCCGCCGCCCCGCTCTCCGCCAGTCGCGGGGAGACCGCTCCGAAGTGAGGAGGAGGCGCCGCCGCCGCCCGAAGTTTGGCCGCGCCGCCGGAGACCTCCGTGCCGCAGCCCAGGACAGGGGCGCGAGCCCGCCGCTCTCCCTGCGCCTCATGCCGCTGCCGCCGGCGCCCCGAGAGGGGACATCCTCGCCCTGAGCGGTCGTGGTTGCGGGCGGGGAGCACCTGCGCCGTTCCCGCTTCCGCGGCGATGATCTGCGCGCCCGCACACCGTCCGCCGCCTCGCCGTGCGCCGAAGGAGAGCGGCAGCCCGCCCGCCCAGCAGCCCGCCTGCACCGCCGCGCACTGCCCGCCGTCCGCGCACCGCCAAACTTCGGCGCCGACAAGTGCCTAGGGAGAGCGGCGGCCCCCGCTGAGACCCCGCGCCCGTCCGGCAACTTTTCCCGGGGGAAGCAGCTCCCCCGCTCGACCCGCGGCGTCTCATGCCGCCGCCGCCGAGGGAGCCCCAGCGCGTCCCGGCGCCGCGGCGGCTCCGCGCCGCCCCGCGGTGAGGGGAGCCCGCGTCCGCGCGGTGAGTACCGCCCGCAACTCCGTGCACCCCGGGACGGGACGAATGCGGCCGCGCGTGCGGAGCGGGAGTACGCGTGTGCGGAGCGCGTGAGGGTACCGTTCTCCCTCGCGGAGGCGCGGACCGAGGGCGGATTGGCGCGGGCCGCGCGCCCCCTGCAGCCCGCGCGGAGCGCAGCGCGGCGCGGCCGGGCCCGGGCGGGGCGGTACCTGCGCGGCTGTCTTCTCCGCCGGAGCTGAACTCAGGCCGGGCAGCGGCGCGTAGCCGGTGGAAGAGCAGTGAAGTGTGGGGGGAGGGCGTTCCTCACGGCCGCTCCCGCCCCGCGGATTTTTCCGCGGGGGAGGAGCGAGGAAGATCAAAAGTCCCATTTGACAGCGGGCGGGGCGGTGGCGGAGGGAACAGCCCCGCCGGCCGAGGAGCAGCGGGCAGGTCGTTGGTACTCAACCTGGAAACAGTTCCCTCCTTTGCGTCGGAAATTGCAGGCGGCTTTTCTAGACGCTGACACGCACATCCCACACAACCCGAACCCCTAAGGAAACCCCACGCGGTGGGGAGCAGCGCAGATCGGCCAAACCCGATAAAACTGATGCTTTTGTACTCTCAAAGTTGGTGCATGTGCGTCTTGGGCTTCCGCTGAATATACTTTTGTTGTTCTGCAATCAACTTTTCAATATTCCGGATCGGATGTGCTAGGAGCCAGCCTCACTTCTGCAGAGATGTTAGCAGAGACAGTGAGTGAAACAAACGGTGGAAATGCTTTTAAAGAGGGAATAAATCACTCTGTTGCCTAAGGATGATGTGGTTGAGGTTGAGAAGCTGTGGCCTGGGCAGCCCGTCAAGGGGAAGAAAACCACAGTAGAACTTTCCCTGGCTTGGTTGGGGTTTTTTTTGGTGTGTGAGGGTTTTGTTTTGTTGTGGTTTTTTAATTGGACAAAAATAAAGGTTGATTTCTGGCATATTTCTGGAGCTTTAAAGGATGTTTACCAGAGAGTTTCCAGCAGTTAGTGGGAATATCCTCATAAAAGTCCTGGACTTTGTCATCAACCCTCAGCCCTGTGACACTGATGAGAAGTGGCACCAACTTTCTAGCTACGTATGTAAAACCTGGCAATAGCACAGAACAAATTCAGGGTCTGGTAGGCATTTGTCTTCATTGAGCTCTGAGGCTAAGAACTTGCAGTTAGAAAGTCGTCAGCTCACACCTCGACTTGGTAGTCCTGTGCACTGGATATACTGCCTGAGGAGCAGGTATGACTGTAATGAGGAAGAAAAATAATGACCAAAAAACCTATGGCTGCCCCAGCTGCTAACTTGCATTGTGAGAGGAAGAACTGGCCGAACAGATCGATGCTAGGTATGAAGCTATTTAAGGCAATAAACCACAATTATAAAGATTCTAGAGAAAAAAAAAAAAGTAAAGCAGCTCTGTACAAAGGCTCTAAAATTTAAATAGCTGAAGTGCTTTTACTCCATATGCTGACAGCTGATGCTAGCCGGCAAGTAATGGCAGCAGTAGCATGAGGTGTCATTCAGCAAAGAATGATGTGGGAAAACCAGAAATATTTTAAGTATAGTGCCAAAGCCCAGTATTTTGGTAGCAGAATGCTGTATTTTATTTTCTTCAGCCGAGAGGTATCGACATTTTACGTTCCTCCTAAGGCAAAGAAATCTTTTTTTGCTAAATAATTAAGTAAGCTAGATAAAAATAGAACCTAAACTTTGTTCAGAGTCCAAAGGCACCACAGCAATTGTGTGTAATATACTCTATTTCATACAAGTATTGACAGAAAGCATATAGAAAATTACTGAATACAGCTTCACTTCTTGTTTGCATTGATGGATAATTTTGCACTTATAAAAGGAGTTGGGTAGTTGTTTTTTTAAATATATGAGCTTTATATATATCAGGTTCTCAAGTTGTTTGTATAGTAAGGTAAAAAACACTGGGAAGTTATTAGATGTAAGTTGCAGGTATGAGGAGTAGTTCTGTTTTGCAATACACATTATTTTGTATGTTCTAAACAGACTTAAATAATTAATAGATAGGAGCAGACACAAAGGCTCTTTTTACTTGGGCTTGGTTAGATACGCTCAGCTGCTGAAGCCCTTAGGGATACAAACTTGAAACATGTTTCCTTTGGGAGAAACGGTGTTGGGAGATGACAGCCAGCGTGGGGTCCCGTGCCTTGTGAGTTTAGCCGATTCTCCTCAGACTGCCATGTATTATAACAACCGGTTTTGGGTCTCGCTCATACTTGTGTGTGGTAGCAGCTACGCTTTCTCCAATGCATAATCTGTGATTGCTTGTTATTTTATTACCTCCTTCGCTTACCTGCTGTTTTGGCCAAGAGGGAGGCCGGGAGCTCCCTGTGTGGTTTGCACAGTGGCTGTCCGGCAGAGAGCTCAGGCGGGGTATCCAGCCAACACAGTTTGTGCAGAGGGAGTTATTTGGAAAGGGGGTGGATTCTCACTATGATAGAAGGAGGCAGAGAAGGAGTGTTTGCTAACAACCCCTAATGAGATCTGAAGTTCTTCACCGGCACAGATTCTGCCGAGACACATTTTAGCTGGTTTGTAAAGGGGGTACCTGCTCAGGCTGCTGAACTAAAATGTTGTGTGAGGTGTGACTTAACCCACCTGGAAAGGGATGTGGGTGCTTAGCACTGCCTTCATAGCTGGTTTGAGTTTGGAAGTCAGCTGCGTGCAGTTCCTCTCAAGCAGCTATAACATACACTCTGTGGCTTGTATACCCAGCACTTTGCAGATAGAGAGGTTCTTTGGGGGAAGGCAGGGAAAGCAGAATTGCTTTCAGCACTTTTGCCTCTCCAATATCTCCCAGTGTTTTCTATATTGCAGAGGCTATGACACATAGGAATGACCAAAGCCCAAAACACACTGTAGTTCATACCGCTGTTGCTCCATGAAAGAGGAATGGGCTTTAAAAGCTTTTCATACATTAGCTAATATCCTGCCAGCCTTTGCCCTCAGTCAGTAAGAATATTGCTCCCTGTTTGCCATCCCTATGGGCCACCAAAACCCATGGTGTATGACCAGCAGAGAACCATGAGGTGCAGGGGGTCGGAGCACTGGGCATTAGTTATCCCCAGTTTGTTGGATTTCTTTTTTGTAAGGCCAAACACACAGGCATTACTGGGAAGGAAAACATCACTTAGTGTTGCCCACAGATAGCAGCTTACAGCTATATAACCGATACAGCTGTATACTTCAGTAGTGTTATTCTAAGCATTTTTTTTTTTACAGAGCCATTCAAATAGATATGTCCTTAGCAATAAGGCACACAAATGTAGAATGCATATTGTGAGTGACTCTGCAGGAATAAATATAAGCAGGAGAAATCGTATAGCTCCATCAGAAAAAAAAAAACAGAACAGGATCCTTAATGTGCTTTGGTCAATATCTTTCCTTGTATCAATGTAAGCTCATTAAAAGAAGATATTACAGACTAACTGAGCCATGCTGTATTAGTTCTTGCCAAAGCTTGACATTTTTAATATATTAATAATATGTCTGTAATGTAATGGAAAACTATTAATCAGAACTGGTTATATGCCAGAAATTTAAGCTATAATTGGCTGCTTGTCAGGAATGTCTGTTGTACACTGCTACACCTGCCTAATGCTCAGATGTCTTGCACTCCTCTGCACTTTTTCCTTGTCAGTGCACTAAATTCGATCAATGTTATAGTCTATAATTCTGTGTAATGACCATCATTATGACTAGCTTACTTTAATGAGAATTCGTTATATGGGAAGTATTTCAGTGCAGTGTGTTAAGGTGGTGGCTTGCTTCACATTATTTTAGTTCCGTCCAGTCCTGTTTATTAGTTGGTCTTAGTCTCAGCAGTTATAAAAGGTTACAGGTAACTGAAGAGCTAGCAAGGAAAATGTTGAAAGGAAACAAATCTGTTTTTTCCTGAATATAAAGGCTTGTAGTCTAAGGATAATTAAACTCAGTAACCTCTTATTTGTAACAGAAACATGATATTCACCTACTGTTTATTCCAGCTGTGACTTAGCATTCTCCAATATAGAGTGTGTTTTGATTTGTCACAAATTTAAAATAATTTGTATCTTTTTTTAGCAGAGTAGTTGTTTCCCTTTTGTATAATAATTGTTCTAAGCTATGGGGTTTTGTTTGGTTGACTGTGGCTTTTTTCCTCCCTGTGAAATAGTAAAATACATTTGACAGGACTAATAGGAAAGACTATGAGGTGTCTTTAGAATGACACGTAAAGTGTTCTCTGAATTCCTGAATTCCAAGACAATAAGTAAACATTTCCACTGAAAACAAAAAAGAATGTAAGGTCGCTATAAAACCAGTGGTACTACACAGTATGCTTCTTAGAAAGATTTAATTTAGATATTTCTGCTTTTGTGAAGAAAATTCATATTTGAACTTAATCAAATTCAGATTTTAACTCAAATATGTGTGAACTAATTGAGAATTGCTATTGCATGGAAATTCAGATATTCTCTGCCTGTTCTGATAAAATATGAGAGTTGTATGGTAACACTTGATAAAATGAATATAATGGAAAATTGCATTTACGTCCATACGGCAATTATTGTAAATTACTTTGCTATGGAAACACAATTCACCCATCTGTTGGCATTTCATAGTGTCTGTAGTTTTACTCAGTTTAAGATGAAGCATTATTTAAATATATGGGGAGACTGCTTGCAAATAGCTAAGGAGCTCACCAGGTCACATACCATTTCCCATGGTTTTGAGGTATAGAAGGGTTCATAGAACTGGGCACAATTAAAAAACTAGGGACAAGCAAAGGGGGCTGCAGAGAGTGGTAACTTACAGTTGTTTCTTAACATCTGTCTGATGGGTTTGCTTAGATTTTGTCATCTAGACAAAAAGAATGCAGAGGTGCTGCAGCAGCTGGCTGGAATCCTACTCCTGCAGAGAGCCCAGCACTCAGGCTCCCCATCTTCAGCTGGCATGGGCTGACACCAGGCGCAGGCTGAGAGAAATGAGCTGGAGTTCCTAGCCCTGGTTTCCCCTTTCTGTGATTAGGGTACTTATCCTGTCTTTGCGGTTTCCCTCATTCATAGTTTATATTTTTGCCTGTATTTTCTTGGATGTGCATATTTTAAGTCATAACAGCCTAAGTTTTTGTACATGTAATAATACAATTTAGGTGGTACAAACCAAGGCAATTTCTATTTGTGTTGATGAAGAGAGGGAAGGGAATAGATCTGCTGTAAAATAAATGCTGAATACACAGGTACCCGCACCCCAAAACCTAGGAAACTAAGATGCAGAAGTGGGAAGCATCCTTATAATAAACTACAAATAAACCATTATCTTTAGCAGTAGTTTGTCCCCAGTGTGATCAGTAAATCACAGTTCAAAGGGAAAAAAAAGTGCAAAGCTCTTCCAATGCTAATGAGAAACTTCAAGGAAACAGAAGTGTGGGCTTACAATATCTTTGTTACTTTTCCAAAAGCTCTTTTGGAGCTCACTGAGGTCCTCTTGCCAAGACACCATCTGTACCTGGTAGTCCTGATACCCATCTCTGTGTCACTTTAATAAAAGAGCTTTCCTGCTGCTCCCCCGCAGCACTGGGCTTCGTGCTCCCCTGCCTGCCTGCCTACATGATCTGGGCAGTAGTTTGAGTTCAGTACATTGCTCTCTGGTTTTTGCTATGTTGAAAATACAGTTTTGGAAGCAGAAACTAGTAACTCACCTGGAACATTATAAATCTGTCTTTGTTAGAGAATAGTTAAATCCTTCATGTCAAAATAGTTTTCACTGTGAATCATTCTGGTAGTTCGTTCATTCTAGCACAACACCTGCGATAAAGGTTATCCATATTGTAGCAATTTGCTTTATATTGCATCAAACCTCCAAAATGTCAACATATCATGAATTTTGTAATGCATTGATTCTTGGACAATAACTCTAATTTTTATTGTTTCTAAAAGGGTGCTGGTGCCAGAAAAAAAGAATGATTGATGGGAAACAGACACCAGCCTGCAGACACTCATCCTTTTTCTTCAGATACTGATTTATCAGTGTGTCTGGACATCCCCTGCAAGCCCTGAACACGGAGGATCACTCAGGGTTATTGACAGTGTAGTGGAAGACCTGCAGCTTCACAAATTATTATCTGCTATTGGACATCTTTTACAAGAAGCCCTGACAGATAAGTTATAAAACAAAGGACAATCACTGTGTTGCTGCGAAAGGTGTTGTCATCGCGGTCTGGGTGGCTTCTACCAAAGTCTTCAACTTAGTGAAGCAAACACCTGATCCTAATGCTTCATGCTTGAGTTGGAACCTATTTTATGAAATATATACATGTATATGTAAACGTATGTATCATCTATAGACCGCACAAACGCCGGTACTGAACATCCTTACAAAGGTGACCTAAAAGGATTTAGAAATGTATTTGTCAAGATTCCTGTCACTTCACGCCCTCTGGGTTACTGTATCCTCCGTGATGCAGCACTACCCTTCCGTGTGGGGACACTATGACGTGTGTAAGACTCAGATTTACACAGAAGAAGGAAAAGTATGGGATTACATGGCCTGCCAGCCGGAAGCCAGGGACATGATCAAATACGTAAAAGTGACTCTGGATCCCCCAGACATAACATGTGGAGATCCTCCTGAGACTTTCTGTGCAATGGTAAGGCATGCTTTTAATTTTGCTTAATAATGGGTATATATTTGTTATAGATGGCTTCAAAATGAAAGCCCTAGAGTGCGCATGTAATTATCCACGAAAATCTTCATCATGTTCCGAATGTGAAAGGTTCTGCTGAACAAAACGCAGAACAATACAATAAGCTGGGCAATGAGGTGTTCTAATGATGGGGACCTAACTTGACTTCATCTAAATTTGATATCTCTTTAGGCCAACTTTTAATGACTCAAAAGCAAGCAGCATAAAACTCCTAGTACGCTAACCTATAACTGGGGTGCGTTTGGACCACAAAAGACTTTAGTGAATTGGTTCTAGTACAGATCACCTTAAAGCATTGGAATGTGGTGTAATATTCGGCATCATTTCCAAACTGTTAGAAACTCAAACTACAGAAGCTGAAAAAGTGGTGGTGGGAGCTGGTCTGGTGAAGTTTTTCCAGCAAGCCCCATGCAGCCAGTGGCAGCACTGCTGGAGCATTGCTACTGCGCACAGCAGGTGTGTACCAGCAGATCCATACCTGCTTGTATGGACACTGCACCAAGAAACACCTTCAGGCAGGGTCCAGCTCTGCCAGCTACTCACAGCTTTCTTGTTTAACTCAAACTGTAAGCATTCAAGACAACTAAAATAAACCAAAGCCAAGGTACTTAATTTACATGCTCCTAAAACTAAAGAACAGTTTTGGAAATGTTGGGCTTGGTAAATAATTGTACAGGTATGAGAAACCAGGCAGACATTGTATATATCAACCTTTTAAACCTGTGCTGCTTCCAAGTGTTTGATAGATTGTGCTGTAAGAGGTCATTCAAGGTAAAATCTTCAACATGTTCATAACTTGTTTCTTTCCACTAACACAGAGAAATTTTTTTTTTTGCCATGGAATGTTTCTGCGAAATACTGAGTGGAAAATACACTATACTTTAACTAGAAAATTTGTGTTTGAGGTGCTTAACATATGTACTTAGATCTACTAATAAAGTACTGGAAGCTTACATCACATTACCTACATAATTTAGAATTGAAAACCCAACGAGTTCTGGTAAGTGAAGTTATCATAATTGAGAAAAGGCTACAAGACATTAATTTGCCTGTGTACGAATCATCATTGCTGTGTGACAGCATCCCCACAGGAAGGAAATTGGCTTTTAAATGCCTTATGGCATCATTTTTAACCACTACTCTTCTGTAAGGAGTTCAGGTCCGACCACACATACATTTAGGGCATGATGTGCATGCATGCAGCTGCTTCCCATGAACATTAATAGCAACGTGATAAATTATGGAGCCACATGAATAAATTACATTCACTGTGAACCTTTGACAGCACCACTTGCTCTCTGCTCTGTAATCCGTCTCTGCTGACATGGCTTTGACACTCTAAACCTCAGAGCAGCTTCAGGCAGCCACTGTTTAAGAAACAAATAAAAGCAACATACCCCATGTAATATGGTCTTTTTTCTTTATCTTCGAGTGTATTTTCTCCCTCAGAATAGCAACAGCTGTGATTTAGCCCTCAACCAGTGATGTTTAGTAACTCATAATGTACTGAATAAGAAAAGTTGTTCTTAGTGCAAAAGAAACTGACCAGCAAAATTTGTTGCTTCCTTTTAGTGCAGATAAACACTGCAGCAGTAATTTTTTAAGTTTCTGAAGGCCTTGGTTATCAGTCTAGTCTCTAGTCAGAATAATGATTTTAAACAAAAGACATTTTAAAAACCAAATAAAATGGTGTCAGACCTCCCCTGAAAATGTTTGACCTAGCAAGGTCCCTGATGCTGTGATGGGGGATGGAAATTTGCATGGAATGACCTGAGGTTACAGCTCTACCTGGCTTGCTGCTTAAGCCCTTGAGATGCAGAAGGCCACCAGAATCCTGACACAAGAATTAAAGAACCCGGAAGAACTGGGGAGACAGACAGTGCTCATTAGGATCTGTATTTAGTGATGTGAATGTAGAGTGATTAACTCCTACATGATAAGCTGTTGTATTTGCTCTAAGTATAGACGTATATTGTGCATAAACACTATATTCAGATATGCGTTGTTAACTAGGAAATTAGTAATTGGTAATTAGGAAAGTGGCAGAAATGCTTGATGTTCTTGAAGTACAGCACAGCAGCAGAGTGCTCTCATTCCTTAAAATGCTTTATGTCTATCTCTACTATAGCTATGTGTAGAAATTACATTTTTCATTCCAAACGAGGTTTTACATATTTTTAGGGAAGAGCCTTTGGCATTTCCTAGTGAGATCTTTTATTTTTGTGCTCATTTTTAGCTTTAGACGTTTAGTTAAGAAGGTAGCAATGACATACTTGGAGTAGCTGGGCAGTGAAAAAGAGTGCATTCCTGTTAGGCATGTTCTTGCACTAAAAAAATATCCCAGAATTAAATGACAGAGATCCAAAGGTTTCTTCTCAGCATGGCAAAGTGCTGAACTGACTTATATAAATGCTTGGGTTTACTGTTGTGAGTATTGGATTTTTTCATGCTAAACGTGTGTACCAGTGTTTTGTTATTGAAATCAGGCTAACAAGATCAGGGCCCTTCCAGATATCATAACAATAAGGTACCAAAGAGCTGAGACTGCTTCTGCAGGAAGAGGAGGAGGAGGTTGACGCAGCCTCCTGTTTTGTTCCCATATCAATTCTTTCATCAGGCATGGTAATTTTCTGTCCACTGCTACTATGCGGACTAAGATACCAGCTGTTGAATTTGTGTCAGCTATTAGTGTAGTGTAGATTATATCCCTGAAACACAACTAGAATGAGAGTCCCAAGTCCTGCTGGGAGATTATGGTAAAATCTGAAGCAGTCTGTGAGAGGGTGATGGTAATAATTTGGAATAATGCACAATGTAATCATGCATTGCAATGCGTACAAGCGTACAATAGAGACGAGATGGGCAGTAAGATTTGCCTCCTACTTATTTCTGCATATTCCCCATGGAATTAAATGTTCTTGAGTCCATTATGAATATTTTACTCCATGAGCTTGTTTAGTTGACAGACCAGATAATGAAGTTTTGTACATTCAGATTTGTTGCACAAAGCAACTTTCCTCTGGGGGTAGTTAAACCTAACATGTGGCAGCTCACCATTTGTAAGTACCTTTGGGTCATTCCTCCAGGACAGCATCCATAGGTATTACAGGGAACATGTAGCTGGAAAACTATACCACAATAGCTTCTATGCAATCTATTCTGAATATAACATTATAGTTTCTGGTGACATTCAATATTGACAACTCATGAGATATTCTGAAATCTCAAACCCCTGGAAACCTACAATTATGTGAGAGTTTCAGCTTTCATTTAAGCATCATCTTTATTTTCCTGGTCCTTCTGGTTGCAGAGAAATGTTTGAAATTAAACCAAGAAACTCAAAAAACAAAAGCCAAATAAATAGGCCTCCAAATTATTTTGCGTTTAAAATCTCATCATCATTTTAGAAGTCACTCAGGCTTTTTAGGGCTTGGTAAATGATCTAGCTTGAGAGGAGAGATGCAGGGAAGAAACATATAAGCAAACAAGTGGCTTAGAGCAGTCAACGTAGTGGTTTCTGGCCATGGAGTTGCTCATGTCTGTAAGGAGGACATGACAGCATCCTTCCCCAACAGGTAGTACTTCTCCTGCCTGTGAAATAACCAGCCCCTGGCAGAGGGGCTTGACTGGTCATCTCTGGCTTCCCTGTACGTTTCAAAGCTACATAGAGTGAGGCATGCATACTGGCAGACAATGCATGTCTGCTTTCTGTGACATTCCTTCGAGGAAATTTGGCTGTCCTTTATCAGTCCCAGAGTTGGACTGGATGATCACGGCATTTGAGCCAGCATGACCATTCCTGTGGGTTTGTAATTCACGAACTTTAAGCATTTGGCAGAGTAAGAGTGTATCTGGCACCATATGCTTACACTTAGTTGGCCTGGGAGTAGAAGGAAGGGGAAGAAGAGAGAAGAGAAAGAAGCTACTTAACATTTTCCAAACTGCAGGATTCACTTTGCAGAGATAGTGTAAGCAAATTTTTCAGTACCCTAGGGATGCTGGTTCTTGTGGCCTGCAGCATTTCAGTTTACAAAACAAATCTGCCTTAAATCCCAGGGAGTAACTAACAGTTGGTGATATCTTCTACTTCCCTCTTTGTAAGCACTTTTTACAATTTCACAGAACTCTGTCCAGTTATGAAATGAAACAAATCTGACTTTTTAAGACTGTCACTATCTTATGCCCTTGAAGAACAGTGCATAGGTGACTTCTGACTTCTTTATTTCTAAAACATAACAATCCCACCACCCCAAAGTCACCCTTGCATGCGCTGGCCCCTGTGCTGAAATACAGGTTTAGCGTAGGGTTTGCATCCAAACCTTAGCCAGGATTACTTTAAAAATTCACCACCAAGTTAACCCGGAGACTCCTAGTGGCTATTACTGTAATCGGCAAACTGGAGATGCATTTACCTTACCAACCTGTGTTTGTGGCTAAAACAGCAACATAAAAATACAATTTTCTGCTTATGTTTATACTAGCTATCATAACACCATCCCACACCCCAGTGGCTAAAAAACGGTGAAATTATTGTTAATTATCCATTGCCTGCAGCTAATTTTCTTCTAGGTTAAACAGAAGCTCAAAAAGCAGCTTACAGACAGGAGTCCTGTGCATTTGTACAATTTATAGAGCAGAAATGCTGATGACAGTAGAAATTTGAGCCCTTGAGTGCTACTCTGTATTTCATAGCCAAATCAAAACTAAATTAAGAAACAAAGATTATTAAAAAGTCTTCTGTGCATGTAATTCTGGGATAATATTGTGAGGTGGACATTAAATTCTTCCCTCCGAGACTTTCAGAATCATTAATATATGCTTAATTACAAATAGGCTCATATTGCTTAAAGGAAGGAAAATGCTCCATAGTGTAGTTGGTGATACCATTATTATGTTTACTGAAATAAATAAATGAACAGATATTCTTCTGAGTAACATATAAA